TTTTGACCACTTGTCTGTTTGACAGGAACACAGTTATCCAATTATGGAGGGGTCCAGAGATGCCGTAGGATTTTAGTTTTAGAAGTAGTTTGTCATGTACCACTGAATCAAAGGCTTTACAGAAGTCTATGTAAATTGCATCTATTGCTTTGCCCTGATCAAGATTTGTAGTCTATGTTTTTGCAGTGTAGAAGTTGTAGATTACAGGATATTTTTTTTTTCTGAAACCAAATTGTTTATTAGAGAGTAGGTTATTTGTTTCTAGGTGGAGAGTAATCTAAAAGGATGCAAATGACCAGCTGACTGCAAGGAGCATCAATCCTTCCCTTCCCCACCATCCAGGCAGAGCTGAGGAAGCTTCTTGGTTGAGAAGCGAAACGTCTTCAAAGAAAGAAAAAACAAGGAAGTCCAGTTGGCTCTTGGAAAAAAAGCATCTTTGGGGCAACCACGACCTGAAGGACAGAGAATCTCCATAGACCAGGCATCCTCAAACTACGGCCCGTGGGACGGATGCGGCCCGCCAAAGCCATTAATCCAGCCCGTGCGGGACCACGAGGCTGCTCCGCCCACATCACCGCACCCACCTGCCAGCCCCCACCCTTTGGCCATATGGAGGGCTGATGTTTGCGAGAGCTGGCAGAGTGCTTCTGGGGGGTAGGGGAGGCAGGAATCCCATGTTGCACAGATCCACAGAAAGGAGGGAGGTGCACCTGATTCCTGATTGATTCTATTCCAAGCCCGAAATCTCTCCCAAACTCAAATTGCCTTACCGTTGCCAGAGAAAATTGACCTTCCGAGCAAGCAAAGATTCCCCCCTTGATCCGTGAAGAAACAGTCAAGAGATGTTTGTGACAGCTGAACCCCTCTCTCCCCCCCACCAGTTTGAGCAAAGCTGCCTCCATGAAGCATCGTGTGCTGTCAGTGAAGGGACATTACTTGCGTTGGGACAACCAGAGGTGAGCCCAGCCCCACTGCCCATGGTGGCTCCTTCTGCAGGTGGATTTTTTTGTTTTTGTTTTTGACAGACTGGATCTGTCCCTGCTTAAATACTGTATTTCCTTTGTGGAATTTAGCTACCACACATAGATATCAGTCCTGGCGTTGGCCAGTGAGGCAGCCTGCCCCTGAAGGAGGATGGCTGCCTCTACCCCTGGGGAGGGAGGCAGGAAGGGCATGGAATGGAATAGAAATAGGAGAAAATGGAATGGGAATAGGAATAGGATGGGATGGGATGGAATAACAATAGCAAGAGGATGAAGTGGGGATGGGATGGAATGGAATGGAATTCAGTGAGGTATCCCAGTGCACTGCCAAGGTTGAAGGGGATCCTGCAGAAGATGCCCCAGGAGAGAGAGAGGGGGGGGGGGAAGAGAGAGAGGTGGAAAAAGAGAGAGAAAGAGAGAGAGAGAGAGACATACATAGAGAGAGATAGAGATAGATAGGTAGATATAGAGAAGATAGATAGATAGATACATAGATGAGATGGATAGATAGATAGATAGATAGATAGATAGATAGATAGATAGACAGACAGAGAGACAGACAGAGAGACAGACAGAGAGACAGACAGACAGAGACAGACTTGTTGATTGTAAGCTCCTTGGGGCTGAAAAGAATTGCTGCAAAACTGAGTATCCTGAAGTAGACCACTAAACAACTTAAAAAACGATCTAGTAAAAAGAGAAGCCAACCAAAAGAGCAACATCCAAACAAAAGCAAATAAAACACTCCCAGGAGCAAAACAAATGAAAGTTTAATTTGTGTGTATTGTTTAATGGCCTGCTAAATTGGCAAAATGGACTGCTAAATTGCCCACGCCCACCCAGTCACATGTCCACCTAGCCACGCCCACCCAGCCGGTCTGGCCCCCCCCCCAACAGTCTGAGGGACTGTGAATTGGCCTCCTGTTTAAAAAGTTTGAGGACCCCTGCCATATTCCTTTTGGGGGTGGTTGGGATCGATGCAGTTCCTCTCTTGGCCAGCAGAGGGCAATGCAGGATCAGGACTCTGTTTCCCGATAGGGAAAAGGCTGCTTTTTGGTTCTGGTGTTTTGGGAGGGCGGTTGGAGAGGGAACCCAAGGATGTTCTTTCCTTCCCCTAAGGTAAGGTGACCAGACGTCCTGCATTTGGCGGGACAGTCCCGATTTTTAGCAATTTGTCCCGCGTCCCACGGCGTTTTAAAAAAGTCCCGATTTTTCATTCTGCCTCCTGAGTCCCAGCTGATGGCTAGAGGGAAAAAAACTGTTTAAACTCTTGCCGCGGGGCTTCAAAGGGACGCCCTACAGCTGATCAGTGTAAAGAGTTCCTGGAGCAGATTTTTTTCCCCTAGCTATGCTGAAAAAGCGAAAGCGAAAGCAGGTTCTTTGCTGCAACGTGACAAAATGAGGCAGAGAGAGATTTCTTTTTCTTTTTCCTCACCAAAAAAGGTAGGTGCAAAACTGCAAACAATGGGAAATTTAGGAGGAGAGTTCAAGATTTTAAAACACAAAAGAAAAAAAGCTCTATTTAACTAGGGAATTGTAATAATTGAGATACTATTAATTGTATATTGTATTGAAAGCAGAAATGGTTAAGTTGTGGTTTGGAGGAATATATGGGGGAAATTATTTGGTTTATTATTATTGGTAAATATAATTAATTGATTTGTAAGAAATTGGATTGCATGGAAATAATTGGAATATTCATGTTCATATTGATATACAAAAAAGATAGTTATATAACTAATTGATTTATATTAAAATGTTGAATTTGTATTAAACAACTGTATTACATAATTACATAATTAACCAATGTGAGGATGGATATAAAAATAGATGACAATGGGAAGGGGTATAATATAGAATAGAAGGGAAAAACTGAATTTGATTAAGATTAGAGATGAGGATGAAGGGTAATATTGTTTTTTTAAAAAAAATAGATGAATAAATATGGCAAAAAGGAAATATAGAAATTGTAAATTTAATTGAAATGACTAAACACTGTTTAAATTTGTGAACCGGCCAAATACTCTGTTCAAAGAAAATACATTGTATGTTTGTATGTATGTTTCTAATTATTACTATTTATTCATATTTGTTCTCTTTTATTCTTTAAAGTTTAACAATTCATTCTTTATCTTAATATCTTTATATTTGTTGGGGTTGGCTTTCTTCCCTTTCATCTTTTTTATTGTACAGCAATCTTTCTCCTCAAACCTACCACCTCTCTCTTTTCTTTCCTTCTTACTTTCTCTTCCTCCCCCTCTTCTTCTCCTCCCTACTTCCTCTTCCTTTCTCCTTCTCCTCCTCTCTTCCTCCCTCTCTTACCCTCCCTCCTACTCTAATTTCCCTTCCCTTCCTTCATCCCTCTCTATTGCTGTATCCTTTTGTGCATACGGACTACTCAGAGGGCTGAAAAAGTTATTTTTGACTGGTCCTCACATTTTTGACCAGTCCTCGAACTTACGACTGTCCTCACATTTTACGTTTTTGCCCTATCTTGTCACCATGGTGAAGAGAAGCAGTTGTGAAATGAGTGACATGGTTGTTAAGAAAGCTGCACGGGCATAAATGTGAGGATGGTCATAAGTGTGAGGACCAGTCAAAAGTGCGAGGACCTGTCAGAAATGACTTTTTTCAGCCCTCTGAGTAGTCCCTATACACATAGCCATGGCCACCCGGTCACATGACCAGCTAGCCACGCCCACCCAGTCACATGACCTCCAAACCATGCCCACAAAATAAGCCACGCCCACAATGGTGTCCCTCTTTACCAATGTTAAAATCTGGTCACCTTACCCTAAGGATCCCTGGGTTCCAAATTTCCTTTTATTTCCCCAGCCAGTTGAAGAATGTGCTCACACGCACATCCAGGCAAACCAATGCACACAGCTGCAAACCTTCTTTTCTAGCTCCTGGAGTCCCCCCCCCCCGACGCTGGGGTTTCAGCCAAGCCCCCCCCCTCCATCGCCTGTGTGCCCACGAGGGGCTTTCAGGGAAGGAGGAAGGAGAGCAAATTCCTACCATTCTCCCCTCAACCCCCCCTTTGCACGGAGGGCAAATCCTGATCCCTCCAGGGGTCTTTGAAATCTCACAGGATAAATTCCGGGGGGGGGATTTGTGGGGGGGGGAGAAAGGGAGATGGGAGTGAGAGTCCCAAAGGTGTGGGGGCTTTAGAAGGCGGTATCCCTTCCCTGCACCCCGATCCTGTGTCTCCCCACCTTTGGCTGCCTGGAAAGGACTCTTCAGAAAAGGAGCCAGCCCCCTCCCCAAATGATCTGGCCTACCCCCCCCCCCATGACACAAGTGCTTCTGGCTCACCCTTGTTCCACCTTGCACTACATGTCAAAGTTTGCACTGAGTGAAACAGCAACATTGGGGCTTCATCCCTGGAAGCTTTCAAGAAGAGACCGGACTGCCCTCTCTCAGAAATGGCATAGGGTCTCCTGCTTGGGCGACGGGGGTGTGGGGTTGGACTAGATGACCTACAAGGTCCCTTCGAACTCTGTGATTCTGTTCTGTTCTGCTGTTCTTTCCCTCTCCTTCCTCTGCCGCTGCTAACACGGATGACTGACCGATCCAGCCATCCCGTTCCTAATGTTAGGATCTCAGCTGTTAGATCGGCTATCCAGAGTTGGAAGGGACCCTGTAGGTCATCTAGTCCAACCCCCCCTCCGCCCAAGCAGGAGACCCCACACCTATTTCTGACAGTCGAATCTCTTCTTGAAAGTGTCTGGTGATGAAGCCCCCACAACTTCTGAAAACAAGCGGTTCCATTGGTTGATTGTTCGTCTCTTCCACTCCACCTCCCTCCTCCCTTCTCTGCTTGCTTTTCCTCAGAGGAGGGTCTCAGCTCCCCCCACCCACCCATTTGCTTCCCCCAGAAAGGAAGGACCGCTCGTCCTCGGGTCAAAGGGGCAGCTCCTTGGCTTGCTTCCCACCGGAGGCCCAGAAGAAGCCCTTCCCTCGCCCCACTCCACTCCACTGCCCCTAACTCTCAGAGCGTCTGGGGAGGGGTCTCACCTGGTTGCAGGAATCAGGAATCCCCAGCGGAGGGTGGATCTGCTGCTCTCCTTCTCTGCTCGATCTCTCCGTCCTTTTAACTGCTGGCAATGGGAACAGAGTCCAATGATTGCACAACAGTGGCTCCAAGATGGCATCGCTCCAAGTCTTCTGGACTTTCGCTTCCTTCAAAAGGTTTCCTGTAAAAAAAGGGGGGGAACAGTGACTCCCCACCCTTTAAGGTCTGCTTCTCCTTCCTTTAACCATGCTCCAACCTGGGGTCCCAGGGGAGAGGAAGGGGGGCTTCCCTTGAAAGATGGGGAAACGGAGCGTTCCTGGTTGAAGAAGACAAAGGGTGCTCTAATCCTCACAACTTTTTGGGTCCTCTGTGCTGTGTGTGTGCACGTGTGCGTGTGCATGTGTGTAAGGAAAATGAACCTGGAAGAGGGGGTGTCTTCATTGCACTGATGGCACTCACTGCCAACATTAGCATCCTTTCCACTTCCATCGTCCTCTCCTGGTTATCCCTCGAGGCACTTCGGTGGGTCTGAGGGGTGGGTGTGTGTGTCCCCAGCTGCACCTCGGACTTCAGAGGGTCTCTCCCGAGATAGGAGGGTGAGTTCCTGAGATTTTCGGACTCGGATCATGGGGGAAATCACCATGATTTTCAGGAGTATCTGCAGGACGTGGTCAAAAGGTTGAGAGGGTGCCACCACGGAGCAGTAGAACCTCTCTCCGTCTTGTAGGCACCTCCGGTCTACTCCATTGCATTTGGTCCAGCCTCTGCTTCCAGCCCTGAGCATGGATTTCACACCAGGACAACGAGATGGTCTAGGACTCCCATTTTCTTAAGGAGGTTCCATAGCTTGAGAAGGTCCAAACAATCCAAGGTCTTTTTAGAACTTCCTTTGGGACATCTTGGCTTGCTCAGAGATCCAGCAGGCATTATTTATTTATTCATTTATTTTATTCAATTTGTATCCCGCCCTTCTCCTAGTGGACTCAGGGCGGTGCACAGCCAGAACTAAAACACATACCAATACAAAGTTTAAAATTTTTAAAAGAATTATATAACTGTGGCCCAAAATTTAAAACAAACTAAAACCCATTTGACAATTTAAAAGGCTAAAAAAAAAAGCTAAAAAGAGGGGCGGGGTTCACACCTGCCCTGCTTGATGGAAGAGAAAAGTTTTTAGGGCACGGCGAAAAGCCCGGAGATCCGATATCCTTCATATCTCCGGGGGCAAATCATTCCAGAGGGCGGGGGCTGCCACAGAGAAGGCCCTCCCCCTGGGGGTCGCCAGCCGACATTGCCTGGCTGACGGCACCCTGAGGAGTCCCTCTCTGTGGGAGCATACCGGTCGGTGGGAGGCTATCGGCGGCAGAAGGTGGTCCCGCAAATACCCAGGTCCTATGCCATGGAGCGCTTTAAAGGTGGTGACCAATACCTTGAAGCGTACCCGGAAGACCACCAGAAACCAATGCAGCTCATGCAGGAGAGGTGTCACATGGGAGTGCCCCCTCGCTCCCATAATCCCCCGCGCAGCCACATTCTGCACCAGTTGAAGCCTCCGGGTGCTCCTCAAGGGGAGCCCCATGTAGAGAGCATTGTAGTAGTTTGGTCAGGAAGTGATGAGCGCCTGAGTGACTGTGCGTAAGGAGTCCCGATCCAGAAAGGGATGCAACTGGCGAATCAGGCGAACCTGATAAAAAGCCCCCCTGGCCATGGCCATCATATGCTCTTCTAAAGTCAGCCATGCATCCAGGAGGACACCCAAGTTGTGAGCCTTATCCATGGAGGCCAATAACTCACCCTCAATAGCCAGCGATGGCACCAGCTGACTATATCGGGATGCCGGAAGCCACAGCCTCTCGGTCTTGGAAGGGTTGAGTCGAAGCCTGTTACTCTCCATCCAGGCCCGCACGGCCTCCAGTCACTGGGACATCACTTCAAGGGCATTGTTGGGATGGCCTGGGGTGGAGATGTACAGCTGAGTATCATCAGCGTACTGATGATACTCCACCCCGAAACCATGGATGATCTCACCCAGCGGCTTCACATAAATGTTGAACAGAAGGGGTGAGAGGACCGACCCTTGCGGCACCCCACAAACAAGGCGCCTCAGGGTCGACCTCTGCCCCCCTGACAACATCGACTGCGACTGGTCAGAGAGATAGGAGGAGAACCACCGCAAAATGGTGCCCCCCACTCCCAACTCCTCCAACCGGCGCAGCAGGATCCAATGGTCGATGGTATCAAAAGCCGCTTAGAGATCTAACAGGACCAGGATAGAGGAACAACCCCTATCCCGAGCCCTCCAGAGATCATCCACCAACACAACCAATGCCGTTTCCGTGCTGTGCCCAGGCCTGAAGCCGGATTGGAGCGGATCCAGATAGACAGCTTCATCCAGGTACCCAGGAAGCTGTCGGGCCACCACACTCTCAACAACCTTCGCCAAGAAGGGAAGGTTGGAGACCGGACGGTAGTTAGCCAAAACAGCCGGATCCAGAGCAGGCTTCTTGAGGAGGGGCCTCACCACCGCCTCTTTCAAGGCGGATGGCAAGACACCCTCACTCAAGGAAGCGTTGATAATCCCCTGGAGCCAGCCTCGCGTAACCTCCCGGGAGGCCAGCACCAACCAGGAGGGACACGGGTCCAATAAACATGTGGTCGCGTTCAGCCGTCCCAGTATCCTGTCCACGTCCTCAGGAGCAACAGGGTCGAACTCCTCCCAAATGGCAGTCCCAAGACCGGCACCCATCATCCCGTCTGTACCTACCCAGTCAGAGACCAAGCCTTCCCAAATCTGAGTGATTTTATTGTGCAGATACTGAACAAAATCCTCAGCACGACTCTGCAAGCGATCCTCCCGCGCTCCCAAATGGAGGAGGGAGCGGGTCACCCTAAACAGGGTGGCCAGGCGGTTACCTGCAGAGGCGATAAGAGCGGAAAAACAGTTACATTTTGCCGTTTTTATCGCCACTAGGTAGGTCTCAATATGAGACCTTACCAGTGTTCGATTGGATTCGGAGTGACTAGATCTCCAACTGCTCTCTAGGCATCTTTTCCTCCATCACTTCTTCCTTGATTGTCCAGTCACTGGTGATCTCCTCAAGCCCAGGGAGAAAGAATGGTATGATCATGTCATCCATCTATCTAAACATTCATCTGTGTATCCATCCATCCATCCATCCATCCATCCATCCATCCATCCATCCATCCATCCATCCATCCATCCATGTATTTATCCACCCATCCATGCATCCATCTGTCTGTGTGCCCATCCATCCATCATCTAATCACCCACCCACCCATCCATCTGTCCACCCATCCATCTGTCCATCCATGCATCCATTCATCCATTCCTCTGCATCTCTCCACCCATCCATTCACCTCTCCATCCATCCATTCATCTCTCCACCCATCTATCATTCACCAATCTGTCCATCCATCCATCCACCTACACTCCCACACTCCCTGCAGAAGGATCAATTGCAGAACATTGTTCAAGGGTGAAGTCACACAATCCACAAGGGGTGTGTGTGTGTGAGAGAGAGAGAGAGAGAGAGAGAAAGAGAGAGGGAGAGAGAGGGGGGGGCTACTTCGAGACTTTGCCGGCTCTGAGGACATTCAGTGTCAAAGTTCTCAGAGAAGTTCAGAAGACCTCCCCAAAAAACAAGCCAATATCTCATTTGACAGAACCACAGGACTCCTCCAGGCTGACCCCTTTCTCTGCTGCCCCTCGGTGGCAGGGACGCTCTGTCCCACAGAGGCAGGATCTATTTGCTGACCCCTCGGTCAAGCCAGCTTCCTTGCTTAACAACGAGCCCTACTTTCGCTTTCCAGGATCTGTGGAGATTTCTCAGAAATGCTTCAGCTGAACTGGAGCTTTCACTTTCCACTTCAACTTCCTCTTTCAGAGTTGCCCTCAGGGGAGGAGAAAAGCCAGTTGCTGAAACTGAGCTGATCCCTTCCAACTCTGGGATTCGGGGATTCTAAAGCCAAGGAAGAGGAAATGTGAGAGGTGAGGCCTGCTGGATCTCTGAGGAAGCTGAGAAGATCCACCTCCATATCTAGAAGACGTCCAATCAAGCAGAATAGAGCTGGAAGGGACCTTGGAGGTCTTCTAGTCCATCCCCCTGCTTAGGCAGGCAATCCTATACCACCTCAGACAATGAGTTATCGAATCTCCTCTTAAAAGCCTCCAGTGTTGGAGCATTTACAACTTCTGGAGGCAAGTTGTTCCACTGATTTATTGTCCTCACCCTTAGGAGATTCCTCCTTAGTTCCAGGTTGCTTCTCTCCCCGATTAGTTTCCACCCATTGCTTCTTGTCCTGCCTTCAGGTGCTTTGGAGAATAGGTTGACCCCCTCTTCTTTGGGGCAGCCCCTCAAATATTGGAACACTGCCATCATATCCCCTCTAGTCCTTCTTTTCATCAAGCTAGACAGACCCAGTTTCTTTCTATGGTTTAGCCACCTAATGATCTTGGTTGCTCTTCTCTGCACGCTTTCTAGAGCCTCAACATCTCTTTTACATGGTGGCGACCAAAACTGGGTGCAGGATTCCAAGTGTGGCCTTACCAAGGCCTTATAAAGCGGTATTAACACTTCACGTGGTCTTGATTCTATCCCTCTGTTAATGCAATTTAGGATTGTGTCGGCTTGTGTGCAGCTGCTGCACACGGCTGGCTCATATCTAAATGGTTGTCCACTAGGACTCCAAGATCCTCTCACAGTTACTACTGTTGATTGAGGTCCCACCTATACTGTACCCGTGCCTTCGGTTTTTCTGGGGCCTGAGGAAAAAATAGAGAGGCTGGAGGGAAAGGGAGAGAGAGAGAGAGGCCCGAGGCACCATCTCAACTTTCTTTTTTTTGAAAAAAAAAATTATTTAAAAACAAAACGTAAAACATCAATCCATCATTCAATACAATTGCAAACAGTGTGTCTACCGGTTACAAATCTTTTGTGCTTCGTCCCCATATTCAAAGTTTAATAAGTATCTGCTTTCTCATATATCAAACAAATAAGTATCCTCATTTATCCTTTATTTAACTATGGCTTAATTGCTTCATAAAAATTATTTTCAAATATTATATTTATAACATTCATTTCATGTTTCATATTTCATTTCCATGTTTTATTATCTAGCCATAGATAAAATAAATCCCATATTTTATAATATTGTTTGTCTTCTTGTTCTCCAATTTCAAATGTCAATCTACTCATTTCAGCACATTCCATAATCTTCCTGATCACTTCGTCTTGAGTTGGTACTTTCTCATTTTTCCAATTTTTAGCAAACACAATTCTAGCCGCTGTTAAAACTTTCACAATCAAATATCTCAATTCTCTATTGTATGTTTCTGGCACCATCCCTAATAAAAAAAAAAAAGTCTGGTTTAAAGTCTATGTGTCTTTTTGTCATTTTTTCCAACGTGTGTGGATTTTAGTCCAGTATCTTTTAGCTTCTACATATGTCCACCACATATGGTAATATGAGCCCGGTGTCTGATGACATTTCCAACACTTTTTGGATTTATTCTTGAACATTCTGGCTATTCTCGTCAGGGGTAAATGCCACCTGTAAAACATCTTATACAAATTTTCCTTATATGCAGTTGACATTATTATTTTATAATTTTGCAACCACAGTTTTTGCCCTTTCTCTAAATCAAATCAACTTTTGACGACATCTGACGGACACTCCTGAAAATCAATGCGATTTCTGAGAGCATCATCGGAGTCTGCCAATCTCAGTTGTTTCAGAGAGAGCCTCAAAGTCCGAGGTCCACCTCTGGACCCCTCCCCTCAGACCAATGGGAGGTCCCAGGGGGATAACCATGGGGTGGAGAGTGGGGAGGGTCTCTAACCTTAACAAGGGAAGATAGACGGGGGGGCAGTGGGAGGAAGACCTGCCTCCTTCCAGAAGACCCCAACTCTTCTCTCTCTTGGAATACTCCACATTCTGGAGGAATGTCAGTCAAATTCCCTATGAGCAGAAGCAGCTCTACAGAGCAGGGGGGTCTCCACACTTGGCAACTTTAAGGCTTGTGGACTTCAGCTCCCAGGATTCCCCACTCTGCAATGCTGATGGTTTAATTCTGGGAGTTGAAGTCCAGAAATCTTAAAGTTGTGGAGTTTGGAAACATCTGCCTAGAGGAGTGAAGGCCCAAGAGAGGTCTTTGCTGCCCTCTGCTGGACGGTTGTGGAACTCATTTCTCAAACACGTTTCCTGTTTATTTTTTCTTGCAAAGTACAGAGACTTCCACATGAATCATTCAAGAGGAAACGAACTTTTTTGTTTGTTTTTTCCTGGTCTTTTCTCTTTCGTTTTCTGAACGCCCTGAAGAGAAAGCAGAAGACGAGGCTTTCCTTACAATTCCCAGGCTGAGCCTTGAACCCGGGACTGGACGGGCAGAGCGGTGGTCCAGCCTTTGGAGGAAGTGGGCGGCAGCTGCACCCCCTTGCCGGGGTCAGGGGGAAGGGCAGGTAAGGGGCTTCCCAAGGGCAGCGGAGATCCTAATGTTAGCAAAGTCAATGGGGGAGGGGAGGGGGGCTAATGGAAGGACGTTAGTAGATGAGATCCTAACATTGGGAAGGGGATCCTGGGATGTTTAGGATCCCATCTTCCTTGGTAGGAAAGGCAACTTCAGGTTGGAGGGGGGGAAGGAGGAGAAAAGCAGGGAACTTAGCAACAATTGCTCCTTTTCTGAAGGCTGCTGAATTCTCTCCTGGCAGCCAAATAAGGTGAGACCACAAATCGGGAGTAGGGAAGCAACTCCTTCTTCCGACAACCCTCCTCCCCCAATTATCCTCCTCAATTCCATCTCCCCCGCCCACAATTCCAAATTTTGGTCTCCCTGGAGGGATCACGCTTTGCCCTCTGCGGGTGAGAGGGTGGGGGGGGGTCTCACCTTGGTTCTAAGTTGCTTCTCTCCTTGGATGGTTTCCAAGAATGGACAGAAATTCATCAAGGGGAGAAACAATTTGGGATTAAGGAGAAACTTCCTAACAGTGAGAACAATTCACCAGTGGAACTGCTTTCCACCAGACGTCATGGGTGCTTCATCTCTGGACCTCCAAGGTGCCCTCCAACTCTGTGATTCTATGATTCTGTAAGGGTCTCCTGCTTGAATAGGGGGTTGGACTAGATGACCTCTGAGGTCATCCAAAGATCAACCCATCTTCCTTTTGGGGGAAGTTTCTGGAGAGGGTGGCTGTGTGGCAGCTCCAGAGGTTTCTGGATGAAATGGATTATCCAAAACTTTAGCAGTCTTCATAATTCAGGCTTGGATATAGGACAGAAACGGCATTGGTTGCACTTATGGATGATCTGTGTACAAGATACAAGGTCAACCTCAGGACTGTGTTGTCATGTGTGCAAACAGGCGACTAGTTGGCTGGCCATCGAGAAAACGGACTTCCGTTGCCAATTCCACGGCTGAGGCGGAGCTCATAGCATTGTCAGAATTGTGTTCAGAGTTATCACGGTAGACACAATAGTTAAAGGATGTGGATAGTGAAGCAAAGAGCATGAAACCAGTGTTTGAAGATAACACAACATGTACACAAATGGCAACAGGTGTGAGAGAAGCAAACATGTTGACCTAAAGTATTTATTACGTCAAGAGAAGCAATGAAAGAAAATGCAATAGACCCAGAGGTTCGCACCGGTTCTGGCAAACCGGTAGTTAAGATTAGGCGCAGTTTGGAGAACCGGCAAATCCCACCACTGGCTGGCCCCGCCCCCTCCTGTTTTTCGGCCTGCTTTTTGGGACAGCCCTAAAAAATGGCCTGAAAACGCCCCCCAAAACAGCCAGAAAACAGGCTGAACAATGGGAAGGGGTGGTGCCATCCAGTGGTGGGATTAGTCCTAACCGGCTGAATCCTACCTCTGCCTTTGAGGCGGGTGGACAGGAGGCGGGGCTGGGTGTGATGAGTGACATCACCCCCCAGTCACATGATCAACGGGCCACGCCTACCCAGCCAGAGAACCAGTTGTTAAAAAATTTGCAGCCCACCACTGAATAGACCTAATTTATTCTCTCTCAGAAAACAACTTGGCTGATGTCATCACAAAGCCATGGAGCATACAAAGACACAAAGATCTTGCGGGACAACTCGGTGTAAATGCTGTCCAGCTATAAAATTGGAGTAGTTCTAAGACACGGGTGTCAAACTCACGGCCCGTGGCCACCCGCACCCACTGTTTAGCGAAGGGGGGAAAGTCATAATACGTCACGTAACGACGATGTGACAACGTGAGTTTGACACCCCTGTTCTAAGATATTTCCTTTAATAACTCAAACAGCAAAGTGTACACTGGGCCAGAGAGCATGGTTGTCGCTGACTGGTTGGAAGGCACCGTGGGCCCCTGCCTGAGGCAATCTATGTTATGATTGGTTGCTGGGAGAGAAGGGGGAGTTTCTCTTTTTCCCGCCTTTTTTCTTCTGTCTCTGCTGTTCTGGGGTTTACCTGATGATTTACCTCACGATGCTCCTGCTCCCCTGGCCGTCTTGTTTGCCGCATCTTATAAATATATATTCGTTGTTATAAAACTTCAAGTTCACGTCAGAGTTTTCTGACTCCCTTTGGACACAGAAGGTGTGGAATTCCCTGACAAAGCAAACCGACATCAGTGGGTGGAGGGTGGCCACATCCTGCGTCCCCTCGGAGAGTCATCGGTCAGTTCTGGCATCCTCCAGAAGTTTCTCCTCTCTTACAGGGAACCAGAAGGACCAGCGGCACTCAGGAGCCAAGCATGGCCCAGGCAGAGGCCCCCATTGAGACCCCAGCCCTGGGCCGCCCCTTCCAGCTGGGGATGCTGTACGACTGCCGCAGGGATACCCTCATCCCAGGTAGGAGCCGGAAGACAAGAAGCGGATGGGCATCTCCTGCGGGAAACTCTGGCAGGAAGAAGACTGGAGCTGCCATCAGTGCATGGGCTCAGCCCAGGGATGCTTCAGAGTGGGACTCCTGGGCCCATGGCCTGCTAATACCCGTATTTCCCCCCAAATAAGACCCGGTCTTATTTTCTTTCGGGCCCTTAAATAAGCACTAGGGCTTATTTTCGGGAGTGTCTTAACTTTTTGAGTGCCACCATGACGAGGCAGGCATGGAAGTGCCCGACATGCACACCGGCTCCCCTTAGGAGCCCCGTGGCTCTACGCTCTGACCACTGCCTCACTGCGTCAGCACCTGCATGCGCAGTAGGAGTCCACGTGGCCACTGGCTCACTTCTTCCCGTACCAGCCCAGCACTGGAGCAGGAGGCCAAGCGACGCAGCCAGCCAAAATGCTCTGTTAGCAAGTGATCCATAGGCGCCCAAACACTTTTTGCCCGGACAGAGAAATGAGGGAGGCTCAAAGCTTCACCTGCTTGCAAATGGGAGACTTTGAAAAGGAGCAATTAGCTCTGTTTCAAAGTGTCCCATTTGCAAACAGATGAAGCTTCGTCTCCCTCTGGGTGAATAGTGTGGGGTGAAGCCAGGTGAAGCCAGAGGCACGGGGCTGGGGGTGGGGGGGAGGCAGGCAATCCCAATGTGCCACCCGCTCTGTCCCACTGTGACTTGGTTTGTGTGTGGCCCTGCCGGATAGGCGTCTGTGCGGGGCATCAGGATTGGCTGCCCCCACTCTCCTCCTCCACCTCTTGCCGGTGCTGCCGCACAAGCCTCCTACTCTCCTCCTGTGAGCCACGCAGTGTCAGCGTTCCAGAAAACCCCAACTCCAATTAAAAACTCCAAGGCAAGCATTTTCTCAACGTTCCATTTATTAGAATAGATATACTGGCACATCTGGAAAAGCCCAAATCTGAGAGTTCCGGGTTTTCCCTCAGTGACTCAAGACCCCCAAATCCATCCCCTGCACCCATCGGTCCCTCACACGTCCCAATCCCCATCCGTCCCATCTCGAGACATCACTCCGACCACTCCTTCTCCAGATGCAGGACTGTCACGACCTTGACCGAAAGGAAGAATGCTATTTTGTCTAACTACATTCCCTCTACTGAATCCCCCCTCCTACTTTCCCACACATGAAAGGTGGCAGCGTGGAAACTTCCAGGGCTAATATGGCTTCCAAAGCTGACACGCAGCCATGCAGCCTGTCCAGATCTCTGTTACAGGGTTTATGTCTGCAGCCTTGGCAGAATCTGTTTGAGATGTATTCCTGACTCTCGAGGAGCTGCCTTCAGCTGCGTCTGTGAGGTAGTTATGGTTCCTGCCTTATGTAGATATATACCTGTAATGATGGTTTGTTAAGGGGGGAGAGGGGGCTTTTACTGACGAATAAATCTACCTTGAAACAATCTCCTTCCTCCCCACTGCATCTCCCTCTGCCCTTGGACTTAACAGTATCAGTGCTGTGCCAAGCGGCAAAGGGAAGTCCGTTTTTTCTCTGGGCTTGCTTGTGGCTGCATGGAGTAGGCATCAGGATTGTTCCCCCACCCCCCATGCCTCCATCTCCACCCTCTGCCCGTGATGCTGCATAAGCCTCCCACGAGCCTCCTGGGAGCCAGGCAACTGTGCGGCACATCTGGATCACCTCTCTCTCCCCCCACTCTGCCTCTGCGGCCAGAATTAGCAGTATCTGCACTGCACCAAGGGGCCGGTGGGCCACACCCAACAACCGGGTTTATTTTGGGGGAAGAGTTATATTAAGCCCACCACCACCCCAACAAAATCAGGATGGGGCTTTTTTGGGGGAAATATGGTAGCAGCTAGGCAAGTAGGGACTTCTGCCTAGGAATGCATATCCACCCTTTGGCCAGGCACACAGCGGGGCACCCTTGACTGCCAATCGTGGGATGAATTTTCCTCTCCCGAACCAAAGTCACTGAAATGGTTTGGTAAATGATTTTAAAAAGGAGTTCAGATCTCACAGAGTGGTGAAGTGAGGGATGTGCCTTTCCTGAGGGGGGTCTGAACAGAGAAATCACGTCAGAACATGTGATGAAAATCATAGTTTCTCCAGGGAGTGGAGATCAAGAGGTGCATAGCAGTTCCCATTCCCCTCTACTCAGTCAAAAGCCTTTGGAGTTTGTGGTATTTTGCAAAACATGCAGGTGATGGTCAGACAGAACAAATGAAGGAGCCCACTAGAGGAAATGATGTCTCCCTTGTCCCATCTCTCTGGAGCTCCTCTGTCCAGCTGCAGGTGTTTTGGAAGACAGTGTTCAATTCATGTCCCTGTTTTCTTCTGTTCCATGCAGGAGTCACCCTTTGGGATTACGACTCTCTTCAGAAGGACCTGACCATCAAGCCTCAGCCCAAAACTGAATCTGAAATCATTGCATCCGACAGCATAGATGATAAGAGCTCTGCCCTGGACATCTCAGCCTCCCTCACGGCCAGTTTCCTGGGAGGGCTGGTTGAAGTGGGAGGGTCAGCCAAGTATCTTCATGACAAAAAGAAGTCCAAGAAACAGGCCAGAGTCACCGTTCAGTACAAAACCACCACCAGGTATGAACAGCTGACAATGAACCACCTAGGAATCCAGAATATCTCTCACAAAGCCGTCTTTGAGCATGGCACAGCCACCCATGTGGTCACCGCCATCCTCTATGGAGCCCAGGCCTTTTTTGTCTTTGACCGAGAAGTTTCTTCAAAGGAGATGGTAAAAAATATAGAGGGAAACCTCCGGGCTACACTCACGAAGGAAATATCTATTGGAGGAGAAGCAGAGGTCCAACTGACTGCGAAGGAGAAAGAGGATGCTCTGAAGTTCAGGTGCAAATTCCATGGAGACTTTTCTTTGGAGAAAAATCCAGTCACTTTCCAAGATGCCATGAAAGTTTATGAAACTCTCCCAAAAATGTTAGGGAAAGATGGGGAGAAGGCTGTGCCTATGAGGGTCTGGCTCTACCCTCTGACCAAGCTGGACACCACAGCAGCTAAGATGGTCCGTGAGATCAGCCTAACGTTGATCTTTGATGCTAAAATGATCTTGGAGGATCTCAATGAAATCCAGATGCAAAGCAACGATCTAGCCAAGAATCCCATTGCTGAGACCTTCCCTGAGATCCAGAGGAAGATCCAGCAGTTCAAGGATCTCTGCAAGCAACACAGGCAGACTTTCCAGAAAGAGCTGGCCAGAATGTTGCCTTCCATCCGGGGAGGAGGGCAGGAGGAAGGGACCCTGGTGGACCTCTTGATGTCCGTCAACCAGTCGCCCTTCAACAGCCAAAGACTCCATCAATTTCTGGACAGCAAAAAAAGAGAAATTAACTTTGTCAAATCTTATCTGACTATTCTAAATAATATAGAAGTTATCTCATCTCAGAACAAGCTGGAAGAAATAGTTCTGGACCCCCAGAATGTACATGTGGTCTCCTTTACATTCACTTCTTTACGTGAAGAGGAGCCATTTCTGTTGAGCTTACAGAAGTGGCTTCAGGAGCAATTCTTGCAAGAATCAACCAAGTCCACAAGATCCAGTCCTGGGGTGAAGGAAGGCATGGCCTGGTTTGAAGACAAGGAGAGGACCCGCAATTCTCGCCAAGCTGCAAAATCCATCAAAGACTTTTTCAGTATCAATCAATCCAATGAGAAGGTCCGCTTTGTTGTGGCCTCAAAACCAGATGTGGACACCCCAGGAGCCTCAGTACACTTTTATGAGGATGGAGAGCTGGTCAGCAAGAACTATGAGTTGCCCTCAAAACCACTCCAATTCCTGATCAGTGAACTGAGACACGACAGCATTCAACTGAAGTTTCAGCCAGCTGAATATGGAAAGGCTTCCATCTCCAACTATCTGGTAAAGTACAAGGTTGCAGGGGAAGATAACTGGAAGACCATGAGGACAGAGGACAACAGGAGATGTTCCTGCTGAAAGATCTACCTCCAAACACAGAGTACCAGTTCCAGTATGCTGCTTGTTGCAAGGTAGGCCATGGTAAACCAGTGACCTGAGCCCACCCATAAAGACCCTTCCCACCAGCCCTCCTGAGGAATTAAGAATGGTCACTGCAGCATCTTCTGTCATCTCTGTGGCCTGGATGAGTCCCAGCATCGTTGCCTCAGGAATTGTGGTCAAGGAGTACAAGGTGGAGTACAGAACGGTGGAGGCTGGAGTTGGGAAGGACCAATGGGCTGAAAAAAGGACTGGGAGAAAAACAGAATTTTACTCTATCGAAGGTCTGAATCCCCAGACAGTGTACAGAATACGGGTGTTGGCCGTGTGTGATAATGGAACTCTGGGTGTCCCCAGTGAGGAGTTGGAGGTCTCCACATCACTGGAAAAAGAAGGCAGAGACAACATAGCCCAACAGTTCCTTCAGAAAAGGTTCCTGGTGGAGGACAGCCAGCCATTAGTGTTTGCACTTACTCTGGAGGAAGTCCCCTCAGTTGCCTCCACCTCCTGTCTCATGTACCAGCTTGGAAAGGAGAGCCTGGAAGTGCCCAACAAAGTCATCCTGGTGATGGGAGCAACCCTGTCTGGGAAAACCACTCTGATCAACGGGATGATCAATTATATTCTGGGTGTCCAGTGGGAAGATAATTTCAGATTCAAACTCATTCATGAAATCACCCAAAGAAGTAAAGCTGGAAGCAGGACGTCTGAAGTGACAGCCTACATGGTGAACCATCAGAAATGTTTCCGAATTCCCTATTCTCTCACAATCATTGACACGCCAGGATTTGGCGATGCAGAGCAAGACAAACTGGTTGAGAAACAGCTCCTGGAGTTTTTCTCCACCCCAGGGGGCATTGACCACGTGGATGCCATCTGCTTGGTGGCCCAAGCCTTCCTTTCCCATTCAACTCATGCCCAGAAATGTGTCTTTGATTCCATGCTCTCCATGTTGGGAAAAGATGTGAAGGATAACATCCAACTCCTGATCACCTTTGCGGATGGGGGGACCCCACCTGTCCTGGAGGCCCTCAAGGAGGCTGACCTGCCGTGTGCTCAGGATGAGTCAGGAACCCCTCTGCACTTCAGATTCAACCATTCAGCTCTCTTTGCTCCCACCCAAAATGGAGGAAGCCGTAATGCGGTTGCTGAAATGTTCTGGAAAATGAGCACTGAGAGCATGAAGGATTTCTTTGACTCTTTAAAGATGGTGGAGACCAAAAGTTTAACCTTGACCATGGACATCCTCAAGGAACGTCAGGAGCTGGAAGCTGCTCTTAGAAGTCCTCCCTCTCTTAAGGTTCAGCCTGTCAAACCAAATAGTTTCCTGATCACTATTAATCCAATGGCCGAAGCGATGGCTTCAATCTCTGGGTACCAAGTGGCATATCGGGCTGCAGGAGAGGAGAACTGGAAAAGTCTCCATGTAGAAGGTTCTAAGAATGAATTCACCCTAGAAAATGTGCACCTCACTACTCAGTACCAATTCCGATGTGCTGCTGTGACACATCTTGAGATCAGCCGATGGAGTGAGGAGACCACTTGCATCTATCCTGCAGAGAAGACTGAACAGGTAATTCTCTTCTGGGTGAATGTGAGGAGGAGAGCAGAGAGAATTCCCTGGCATCTCCTACAGTGTTTGGAACCTCTGGTACCGCTTCCCACATTCCGACTGTAAAAGAGAGATTCTTAGAATCCCTGCTTTGTCCTGTTTCTCTTGCTTCTCTTTTGGATTAATTCCCAGCCATTGTTTCTTGCTCTGCCTTCTGGTCAGTGGTGAAATCCGAACCAGTTTGCTACCAGTTCTTTTTTTTCCTTTTCTTTCTTTTTTTATTAAAAAGTTTTACAAAAAAGAAAAAAAATTCAAATATTTCCCCTTCCCCCCCTTCCTTCCCCCCCTCCCCGCCCCCCTTGCCCCCCCCGGACTTCCCATAACAAAATACAGGGTAAAACAATTAACAATCATATGCTAAGCTAAACTAACTAACTACAGATTCCTATCCCCCCCTCGACACTTTAACTCGCCTTTTACTTAACTAAATATACATACTCTTAACTTTTCTATTCATTCATAAGCTATTTGATACTTTTTAGTCTGATATTTGTTTTGAATATAATCAATCCATCTTCTCCATTCCGATATATATCTTTCTTGTGAATGATCTTTCAAATATGCTGAAATTTTCACCATTTCTGCCAAATTGGCCACTTTTAATGTCCATTCTTCAATAGTAGGCAAATCTTCCTTCTTCCAATATTGTGCTACCAAAAGTCTAGCTGCAGTTATTAAATTTAAAATCAATTTAGTCTCTATAACCGTATAATCTGTGATTATACCCAACAAAAACAATTGTGGAGTAAACTTTATCTTCTTTTTAAGAATATTTTGGATAATTCACCATATTTTAATCTAAAATGCTTTAACTTTTTTACAAGTCCACCATATGTGATAATAAGTAGCATCATCACAATCACATCTCCAACACTTAGATTGCAAATTTGGATACATACAAGCCAACTTTTTAGGATCTAAATGCCATCTATAGAACATTTTATAAACATTTTCTCTTAAATTTTGTGCTTGCGTAAATTTTACATTTCTAACCCATATTTTTTCCCAAGTTTCCATCATTATTGGTTCCTGAATGTTTTGTACCCCATTTATCATGCAATCCTTAACTAATTCCGTTTCTGAGTCTATTTCTATCAATATATTATATAATCTTTTTATATGCATTTGGCTTTGATCTCTAATTTGTTTTACCAAATTTTCCTCCTTCTGCATGATACCAATTCTCTGGTCTTCTTTCCATCTAGCTTGCAACTGTCCATACTGAAACCAAGTTTGAATTATTTTTTCTTCTTTTAATGCCTTTATAGATTTTTAACTGCAATATACCGCCTTCCATTTTAAGAAGCTCTTTATAGGTAATCACCTCTTGCTTTTGTTCTACACTTATATTCTCTACCTCATGTCTGGGTATTGCCCATATAGGTATCTTATAATTTAACTTATATTGATACTTCTTCCAAGCTCGTAACAAGGCATTCCTTAGTATATGGCTTTTAAAGGTCTTATCCACCTTTTTGTCATATAATAAATAAGCATGCCAGCCATATAACATCATATCCTTCAATATTCAATATTCTTTCTTCTGTTGAATTAATCCACTCACTAATTATTATTAAAACAGCTGCTTCATAGTATAATCTTAGATTAGGCATTTTAAGACCTTCTCTTTCACATATATCTTGCATTATCTCGGTCTTTTCCCTGCCCAAACAAAATTATTAATACCCTTCTGCCATTCCCTCAAATTATCATCTTTCTTAAGTATTGGTATCATTTGAAACAAAAATAAAAACCTAGGTAAAACATTCATTTTTATTGCTGCTATTCTCCCCAACAGAGATAATTGTAGTTTTCCCCAATTCTCCATCTCTTTCTGTATTTTTTGCCATAGCAATTCATAATCATTTTTATATAATTTTACATTTGAGGCTGTAATATATACCCCTAAATATTTAACCTTTTTTACTATTTCAAATCCTGTTAGTCTTTCTAGTTCTTCTTTTTGCTTTACCGTCATATTTTTAGCTATTATCTTTGTTTTTTGTTTATTTATTTTAAATCCAGACATTTGACCGTATTGGCTAATTATAACCAGTAAGCCTGTAACTGATTGTACTGGTTGGGTTAAAGTAACAACCAAGTCATCCGCAAATGCTCTTAATCTATAGTCATGATGTCTAATTTTAATTCCCTTTATTTTATTTGACCCTCGTATTTTATTCAGTAAAGGTTCCAAAGTTAAAATAAGCAATAATGGTGATAAGGGGCATCCCTGTCTTGTTCCTTTTTCAATTTTAAAAGTTTCTGTTAAACCACCATTAATTATTATTTGTGCTGTTTGTCTCTGATATATTGCCCTAATAGATTGTGTAAAGTATTCTCCACACTGCATCTTTTCTATTATTTTCAATAAAAATTGCCAATTCAATTAATCAAATGCCTTCTCCGCATCCAAAAAGATAAGTGCTGCAGGGACTTGGTTGTTCCTTTCCAAATATTCCAATAAGTTTACAATTTGTCTTACATTACCTTTCATTTGTCTCCCACTTATAAATCCAGATTGGTCATTATGAATCATTTGTCGCATAATTACCATTAACCTATTTGCTAGTATTTCAGCAAAAATCTTATAATCAGTATTTAAAAGCAATATTGGCCTATAATTCTTAGGTTGACTATGATCTTTTTTATTATTATTATTATTATTATTATTATTATTATTATTATTATTATTATTATTATTATTTATTGAATTTATATACCGCCCTTCTCCCTGAAGGGACTCAGGTCGGTGAACAGCCGAAAATTAAAATAACATACAATATGAAAGTTAAGATAACTAAAAATAAATTAAATTAATCGGCCTCCTAATTTAAAACCCCAAGCTACACAATTAAAAACTAACCCATAAAACCTATTCAGGCCAGGCTGGCTTGCTGAAATAAAAACGTCTTCAGGGCCTTACGGAAAGTGCGGAGATCCGGTATCAACCGTATTCCAGGAGGTAGCTCATTCCAGAGGGCGGGTGCTCCCACACAAAAGGCTCTCCCCCTGGGGGACGCCAGCCGACATTGCCTGACCGACGGCACCCTGAGGAGGCCCTCTCTGTGAGAGCGTATTGGCCAGTGGGAGGTTATCGGTAGCAGAAGGCGGTCTCGTAAATACCCTGGCCCTAAGCCATGGAGCGCTTTAAAGGTGAGAACCAACACCTTGAAGCGCTCCTGGAAGACCACTGGGAGCCAGTGCAGCTCGCGCAGGAGAGGTCTTATATGGGAGCGCCATGTCGCTCCCGTAATCACCTGCGCGGCCACATTCTGGACCAGTTGGAGCCTCTGGGTGCTCCTCAAGGGGAGCCCCATGTAGAGAGCGTTGCAGTAGTCCAGGCGAGAAGTGACGAGAGCATGAGTGACTGTGCATAAGGAATCCCGACTCAGAAAGGGGTACAACTGGCGTATCAGGCGAATCTGATAAAAAGCCCCTCTGGCAACGGCCATTGTGTGCTCTTCTAAAGACAGCCGTGTGTCCAGGAGGATCCCAAGTTGCGAGCACCCTCTGTGGGGGTCAATGACTCGCCCCCAATAGCCAGCGATGGCATCAGCTGGCTATATCGGGATGCCGGCATCCACAGCCACTCGGTCTTGGAAGGGTTGAGTCAAAGCCTGTTCTCCCCATCCAGACCTGCACGGCCTCCAGACACTGGGACATCACTTCAAGGGCATCGTTGGGGTGGTTTGGGGTGGAGATGTACAGCTGAGTGTCATCAGCGTACAGATGGCACCGCACCCCAAATCCACGGATGATCTCACCCAGTGGCTTCACATAAATGTTGAACAGGAGTGGCGAGAGGACCGACCCTTGTGGCACCCCACAAACAAGGCACCTCGAGGTCGACCTCTGCCCCTCTGCCAACACAGACTGTGACCGGTCAGAGAGATAGGAGGAGAACCACCGCAACACAGTGCCTCCCACCCCAATCCCTCCAGCTGGTGCAGCATGATACCATGGTTGATGGTATCAAAAACTGTTGAGAGATCTAATAGGACCAGAACAGAGGAACAACCCCTGTCCCGAGCCCTCCAGGGATCATCAACCAACGCGACCAATGCCGTTTCCGTGCTGTATCCAGGCCTGAAGCTGAACCGGCATGGGTCTAGATACACGGTTTCATCCAGGTACTGCGGAGGCTGTTGCGCAACCACACTCTCAACAACCTTCGCAATAAATCTTCTTCAATAAGCGAGGTCTCTCCTGCAGCTTGTGGCTGTTTACTTTCCTTCTGTCCCTGTATTGCCAGCTCTTCTTTTCTTCTCCTCATTTCCTGAGATGGTGGGCATCCAGCCTTTAATACATTAGTATAAAAATTTCTTGCCTTCCAAATTGTGTTAAGGCGATACCTTTCTCCCATATAATTCACCATTAGTCCAACTGGAACATCCCATCTAAACTGAATCTGTCATTTTCTAAGTTCATCCACCAAGAAAGCAAACTCCTTTCTGCTTCTCAACATTTTTGGGGAAATTTCTTTCAGCACTAAAACCTCTTGTCCTGCAATTTGAAGTTTATTTTTATAGAAAGCTTGTAAAATTTCATTTCGGGTCCTACTCGTTGTAAAATAAATCACAATGTCTCTTGGCAATTGATTCTGTCTGGCAAACCAGGAATTAGCACGATATATTTTGTCAATTTGCAATGAGAGATCTGCTTGTTGCTCTCCATTATCTATGCAAAAGCCTCTGCAAAGATCTCTCTCAAGTTCTCTCGATTGTGTTCTCTCAAACCTCTTACTCTCAGGGCAAATTCCATCGCGCTATACTGTAACATCACCACTTCATCGTCTGCCCTTTCCACCTTGGTCTGAACTTCATCCATTTTATTTTCCAAATTCAGATTGGACTGGTTAATTTCTTCTACTCTTTCATCCAACAATTCAATGTGTTTTGCCAGACCCTGAAATGCCATTACTATGTCTTCTCTTATTTCCTTATTCCGAATTTGTATAACTTCTTTAATTTCAGCCATTTCTTCAGACACTCCCTTAATTTTCTCCTCTAAAAAAGAGGTTTGTTGCTTCAAAGCGTCCTGCAGAGATTCCTGTAGAACTTCCAAAGTCAATATTTGTGGGTTTGAAGTAGACAAAGATTGTAGTTTTGATGGTTGTGCTGGCGATCCTCCAGCACTTTTAAAGCCAGATTTTATCTGCTTAGAAGCCATTTTTAGCTTTCAATTTATACTTCCTACAGCAACCAAATCAATAAATCCAAATATTTTAAAATCTTTTAAAAGTATTATAGTTTATTTAAAATCCAAAGTGTAGCCTTTCCACTTTAAATCTTTCTTTCTTTGTTGTAGAACCCAGCAATCTTAAACAGCCTCAGAAGCGCTAACGATGTTAACTATCACTTTCACTATCACTTTCACTTTCATGCCCTGTTACAGTTCAGGCGCCATTTTTGCTTTCATTTTAAAAGTCTTAGAAGGAAGAAATATAGACACAGAGTTAAAGTTCAGTACTTGCAGTTGCTAGGACTCCTGTTTTTGTTCTGCCTGCTTTAAGCTTATTTTGAATCTGAATGTTGATTGCAGGGGTGGTCACGGTGTCTTGTTCTGCTTGAAGCAGAAAAGCATCAGATTCGGAGCTCAGCTAGACTACCAGGGAGCTCTCACCCTCCAAGCCCCAGAATTGCTCCTAGGGCTTTTGGGGAGCTCTACCTTAGTCCGGCTGCTCACCTTCCTCTCTTCTCTCGAGGGGAAGGTTTCCAAGCCACCAGACAGCTGATTTGCACTGTCTTGGCGGTTTTAACAAAATCGCGGGGCTGACGGTCCAAAAGGAGCATCTGTCAGCGCCTGCGATGCCACTGGAAGTCCTCCCGGTAGCTTTTTCTTTTACTACCGGTTTGCTCGAACTGGAGCAAACCGGTAGCATTTCGCCCCTGCCTATGGTGCTCTGGAGAATAATTTGATCCCATTTGACTTCATGGTGGGATTCAAAAATTTATGGCTGCAGTTGGGGTGTGTAGGTGTAATTGGGGACCCTCATGCTCTGGCTTGTGTGAAGGGGTGCCTGGAAGTCCATTCTGGGAGCTGGAGACATATGAGATGTTGGCCAAGGTTTACTCTCCAAGCTTGTTTCAATTTCATTTCTGAACATTTCATTACCAGGCTAGGTAACGTCATCAGCAGGATTTTCTTGTCCTATTTTTCTTAGCTTATCAATGTCTTGTGGGTCAGTAGGTCAGTAGGTCGTGTGATTGGTTGTTCCTTTGGAGCTATATTTGAATTCTGAGCAGCTGATTGGTTCGCTTGTTGATTGGTCGTTCGAATAGTCTGGTTTCTTATGTATTCATATCCTGGATCTAGATCCATATGCTTGTGAATTGCTCCTTTGGTAGAATAAGAAGGTAAAGGTTCCCCTCGCACATATGTGCTAGTCGTTCCCGACTCTAGGGGGCGGTGCTCATCTCCGTTTCAAAGCCGAAGAGCCAGCGCTGTCCGAAGACGTCTCCGTGGTCATGTGACCGGCATGACTGAATGCCAAAGGCGCACGGAACGCTGTTACCTTTCCACCAAAGGTGGTCCCTATTTTTCTACTTGCATTTTTTACCTGCTTTCGAACTGCTAGGTTGGCAGAAGCTGTGACAAGTAATGGGAAATCACCCCGTTACGCGGCACTAGGGATTCGAACCGCTGAACTGCCAACCTTTTGATCGACAAGCTCAGTGTCTTAGCCACTGAGCCACTGCATCCCTTTTGATAGAATACCAGACTTCAATAAATTCATGTGTGTGGTGGGTGCTGATATGGCCGATGATTTTTGTTCCTTCCCAATCGAACTGCTGTTGTTCATTGTCAATGTGGGTCGAGATCAGGGATTTTTGGTTGTGCTGTTTAAGTTCTAGTTGATATTCACAAACCCTTGTTTTTAATTGCCTTCCTGTTTGTCCCACATAGGAGATGTAAAAGTCAAAGCGAGAGAAAAAATACTCACCACACCAAAATACCAAAGAGAGAATGTCGCTCTGTCTCTACTCGATCCTCCAAATCTTTAGGCTCCCAAGAATCAAAAGCAGCTCCTCTTCCTCCTCTTAGTCCAACAACGAGGCTCTGTGGGGCCTGATCCGTCTGTGGGTTCAATCATTGGGCTGTGGGAGCTGAGCAGGAGAGGCAGGTCTCTGAGCTGATGGAGACTTTGCAGAGAACTGTTTCCGAGAATTGGGGGAGATACGTCAACCGGCTGTAGTTGGAGCCCAACTTACGGGACAAGCACATCAGAGTGTCCCAAGGCTGAGTGGGACCTGGCAGGGCTACTTGGGGGAAACTCCTAGGGGGGGCCAGGCCTGATCCAAGTCACCTATGCTTGGGATGAGGGAGCATCAGAGTTGCTTGAATTCAGCAAGATTGCTGGAGGGATGGGCCCTTGAGGTCTTGAACATAGACTGTCAGGCTTGTCCCGACTGGATCATTTAGGAAAGAAAGACCCTCGATTCCATCGTTGAATTGAAGGTGTTGGTTTTACTAAAGTCAAGTGGTTACAGCCAGTGGTGGGATTCAAGTAATTTAACAACCGGTTCTGTGCCCTAATGATTTCTTCCAACAACCAGTTTGCCAAACTGTTCAGAAAGTTAACCACCGGTTCTCCCGAAGTGGTGCGAACTGGTTGAATCCCATCACTGGTGACAGCACAAGCAAGGCCTGCATTTTTTACATCTCCCATTGCATTCCATCTTCCCAGCACTGTCCTTGATCAGCTGGACTGTTCCAGACTAACACCTCTGGTTCCTGACACCCTGTCATTCCCCCCTCCTATCACCCTGACTTCTCCCTACATTTCATGGCAAAATGCCAGCAAAGCTGCATATGTTGGAGATGGCAGACCTGACAGGAGTGCCAAAGGGCAGGGAAGTATCCTAGGAGGCAGCATCAGGTGGGGGCAGGCATGCATGGGTGCAATCAGCATTTCCAGCAAACGTTGCTTGCCCAGGATGGAAGGGGTTGGAACAAAGAGCCTCCACCACAGAGCTTCCCCTCAACCCCCGGGAAGGATTCCTACCAGCAAAGAGAGAGGTGGGAGAGGAACCCGGAGGACGAGGGTCTGGGGAGCACTTGGTGTCATTCTGGAATTGCAGCTGAAGGCCCAGAGAACAGGATCCCTTCAGCATCGCATTGGCTGCGGGGAACTGCCAGCCATTTGGGGCATCAATGCCCACTGTTCCCGAAAGCCCCAAAGTGCAGAATCCAAAAGTTTGAAGGGTTGCATAAAAAGGGGGGAAGGGATCCGATGACTGCCTCAAGGGCAGTGAGGAGGGGGTGACCCTCTTTTAAGGCCCCTTCAGGTCCTGCCTGTTTGTTCTGGGAGAGGACACTTCCTGGCCACTTCTGAGCAAGGCAGCTTCTCCTTTGGCTGATTCTGTTTCTCTTTTCATGCAGAAACCGCCAGATCTGTCCTGGGCGACTCCTCTGGGTAGGACTGCAAACTTCGGAGGTAAAGCCATGAGCCCTGGGGGCTGGCAGGGTGGGGGTGGGGTGGGAAAAATGATGGAGCTGCTGACCACGTCTCCTTCTTGTTTCCCCGTTTGGTAGGACCTGAGCGGAGGATCGTCCTTGTGGGCAAAGGCGGAAACGGGAAAAGTGCAACAGGAAACACAATTCTGGGAAGAAAAGCCTTTGTGTCTGGGATGTCACTTAGACTACTGACCAAAACTTGCCAAAGAGAAGAGGCACAGCTGAATGGCAGGAAGGTTGTGGTGGTCGATACACCTGGCATCTTGGACACTGGCTATCCCATGAGAGAAACTCTTCCCGAAGTGAGCAAGTGTATGAAGTTTTGCTCCCCGGGTCCACATGTCATTCTGCGCATCGTGCGTCCTGGCCTTTTCTCCCATGACGAGAAGGAAGTGGCTCAGCTGATCAGAGAGATGTTCAGCTTTAGGGCCCTGAATTACATGATCCTCTTGTTCACCCGGAAAGAGGACCTGGACGGAAGGTCTCTGGAGGAATACATATCTGGGGAAGGTGTCTGTTTTAGGGAAGAGGCATACCATTGTGGGAACCGGTTCTTGGCTTTCGACAACAAGGCCACAGGAGAAGAACGAGAGGCTCAGGTGGCCCAGCTGATGACCATGATTGATCAACTGGTGCAGAAGAATGGGGATGCTCCTTATTACACGGAAGACATGCTGATGGCGGAGAAGTTCAAGGAAAAATTCAAGTTGTTTTCATAGAGACTGATTGATCCTCTGCTCCACAGTGGCAACTCTCCCAAAGGCCCTCCATTTCCTTCCTTCTGTTCTGTGTTCTAATCCAGCCCTCGCCAGGTGACTTCCAAAGTACCTGAGACTCATGGCTGAGTCTCCCTGAGCCAATTCCTTCTCCTGAGAACCCACTTTCTCCCCTTGGATGACAGGACTTTCTTCAAAGCCACGTGAAAATCCTGCCCCCACCCCACCCCAGTATCAACCGGCCCCACAGCCTAATTCTCTCCCATCCTGGATCCCTGTCCCTTTGGAAGCACAGACACTCCCGGGCTTCCCATCTGTCAATCATTTGAGGTATATCAGGCTGAGAAGCCACCAACGCAAGAAATATTAGAAGAAAAGAAGTCGAAAGTAGAAATTGGGAAAATAGCATTATGTATCCTGAAATATAATAGCCTATTATAATTACTATGTATACACAAATATTCAAAATTGAAAGATTATGATTATGTATATTTAAATGGTAATATCATTATCAGAATTGTATGCAAAGTATATTAACCCAGACAATACACGGTTCCCCAAGCACGTTTGGATGTTAAAGAAAAAAATCATAAATAAAATTGAAGCCCCCACAACTTCTGAAAACAAGCAGTTGATTGTTCGTCTCTTCCACTCCACCTCCCTCCTCCCTTCTCTGCTTGCTTTTCCTCAGAGGAGGGTCTCAGCTCCCCCCACCCACCCATTTGCTTCCCCCAGAAAGGAAGGACCGCTCGTCCTCGGGTCAAAGGGGCAGCTCCTTGGCTTGCTTCCCACCGGAGGCCCAGAAGAAGCCCTTCCCTCGCCCCACTCCACTCCACTGCCCCTAACTCTCAGAGCTTCTGGGGAGGGGTCTCACCTGGTTGCAGGGATCAGGAATCCCCGGCGGAGGGTGGATCTGCTGCTCTCCTTCTCTGCTTCGCCGCTCGATCTCTCCGTCCTTTTCAAAAAAAGGGGGGAACAGTGACTCCCCTCTCTTTAAGGTCTGCTTCTCCTTCCTTTAACCGTGCTCCAACCTGGGGTCCCAGGGGAGAGGAGGGGGGGCTTCCCTTAAAAGATGTCAGACTGGGGGAACGGAGAGTTCCTGGTTGAAGAAATCAAAGGATGTGATTGTGTGCATTGTGTGTTTGCATGTGTAAGGAAGATGGACCTGGAAGGGGGGATGTCTTCATTGCACTGATGGCACTCACTGCCAACATTAGCATCCTTTCCACTTCCATCGTCCTCTCCTGGTTATCCCTCGGGGCACTTCGGTGGGTCTGAGGGGTTTGTGTGTGTGTCCCCAGCTGCACCTCGGACTTCAGAGGGTCTCTCCCGAGATAGGAGGGTGAGTTCCTGAGATTTTCGGACTCGGATCATGGGGGAAATCACCATGATTTTCAGGAGTATCTGCAGGACGTGGTCAAAAGGTTGAGAGGGTGCCACCACGGAGCAGTAGAACCTCTTTCCATCTTGTAGGCACCTCCGGTCTACTCCATTGCATTTGGTCCAGCCTCTGCTTCCAGCCCTGAGCATGGATTTCACACCAGGACAACGAGATGGTCTAGGACTCCCATTTTCTTAAGGAGGTTCCATAGCTTGAGAAGGTCCAAACAATCCAAGGTCTTTTTAGAACTTCCTTTGGGACATCTTGGCTTGCTCAGAGATCCAGCAGGCATCCTCCATCACTTCTTCCTTGATTGTCCAGTCACTGGTGATCTCCTCAAGCCCAGGGAGAAAGAATGGTATGATCATGTCATCCATCTATCTAAACATCCATCTGTGTATCCATCCATCCATCCATCCATCCATCCATCCATCCATCATCCATCCATCCTTCCATCCATCCATCCTTCCATCCATCCATGTATTTATCCACCCACCCATCCATCCACCCACCCACCCATCCATCTGTCCATCCATCTCTCCATCCCTGCATCCATCCATCCATGCATCTATTCATCCATCCCTCTCCATCACTCCATCCATCCATTCATCTCTCGACCCATCTATCATTCACCAATCTGTCCATCCATCCATCCAACTACACTCCCACACTCCCTGCAGAAGGGTCAATTGCAGAACATTGTTCAAGGGGGTGGGGGTGGGTAAAGTCACACAATCCACAAGGTGTGTGTGTGTGTGTGTGTGTGAGTGAGAGAGAGAGAGAGAGAGAGAGAGAGAGAGAGAGAGAGAGAGAGAGAGAGAGAGAGAGAGAGAGAGAGAGGCTACTTTGAAACTTTGCCGGCTCTGAGGACATTCAGTGTCAAAGTTCTCGGAGAAATTCAGAAGATCCCCCCAAAAAACAAGCCAATATCTCATTTGACGGAACCGCAGGACTCCTCCCGGCTGACCCCTTTCTCTGCTGCCCCACAGCGGCAGGGACGCTGAGATAAATCTCTGTCCCACAGAGGCAGGATCTATTTGCTGGCCCCTCGGTCAAGCCAGCTTCCTTGCTTAACAACGAGCCCTACTTTCGCTTTCCAGGATCTGTGGAGATTTCTCAGAAATGCTTCAGCTGAACTGGAGCTTTCACTTTCCACTTCAACTTCCTCTTTCAGAGTTGCCCTCAGGGGAGGAGAAAAGCCAGTTGCTGAAACTGAGCTGATCCCTTCCAACTCTGGGATTCGGGGATTCTAAAGCCAAGGAAGAGGAAATGTGAGAGGTGAGGCCTGCTGGATCTCTGAGGAAGCTGAGAAGATCCACCTCCATATCAAGCAGACGTCCAATCAAGCAGAATAGAGCTGGAAGGGACCTTGGAGGTCTTCTAGTCCATCCCCCTGCTTAGGCAGGCAATCCTATACCACCTCAGACAATGAGTTATCGAATCTCCTCTTAAAAGCCTCCAGTGTTGGAGCATTTACAACTTCTGGAGGCAAGTTGTTCCACTGATTTATTGTCCTCACCCTTAGGAGATTCCTCCTTAGTTCCAGGTTGCTTCTCTCCCCGATTAGTTTCCACCCATTGCTTCTTGTCCTGCCTTCAGGTGCTTTGGAGAATAGGTTGACCCCCTCTTCTTTGGGGCAGCCCCTCAAATATTGGAACACTGCCATCATATCCCCTCTAGTCCTTCTTTTCATCAAGCTAGACAGACCCAGTTTCTTTCTATGGTTTAGCCACCTAATGATCTTGGTTGCTCTTCTCTGCACGCTTTCTAGAGCCTCAACATCTCTTTTACATGGTGGCGACCAAAACTGGGTGCAGGATTCCAAGTGTGGCCTTACCAAGGCCTTATAAAGCGGTATTAACACTTCACGTGGTCTTGATTCTATCCCTCTGTTAATGCAATTTAGGATTGTGTCGGCTTGTGTGCAGCTGCTGCACACGGCTGGCTCATATCTAAATGGTTGTCCACTAGGACTCCAAGATCCTCTCACAGTTACTACTGTTGATTGAGGTCCCACCTATACTGTACCCGTGCCTTCGGTTTTTCTGGGGCCTGAGGAAAAAATAGAGAGGCTGGAGGGAAAGGGAGAGAGAGAGAGAGGCCCGAGGCACCATCTCAACTTTCTTTTTTTTGAAAAAAAAAATTATTTAAAAACAAAACGTAAAACATCAATCCATCATTCAATACAATTGCAAACAGTGTGTCTACCGGTTACAAATCTTTTGTGCTTCGTCCCCATATTCAAAGTTTAATAAGTATCTGCTTTCTCATATATCAAACAAATAAGTATCCTCATTTATCCTTTATTTAACTATGGCTTAATTGCTTCATAAAAATTATTTTCAAATATTATATTTATAACATTCATTTCATGTTTCATATTTCATTTCCATGTTTTATTATCTAGCCATAGATAAAATAAATCCATATTTTATAATATTGTTTGTCTTCTTGTTCTCCAATTTCAAATGTCAATCTACTCATTTCAGCACATTCCATAATCTTCCTGATCACTTCGTCTTGAGTTGGTACTTTCTCATTTTTCCAATTTTTAGCAAACACAATTCTAGCCGCTGTTAAAACTTTCACAATCAAATATCTCAATTCTCTATTGTATGTTTCTGGCACCATCCCTAATAAAAAAAAAAAATGTCTGGTTTAAAGTCTATGTGTCTTTTTGTCATTTTTTTCCAACGTGTGGATTTTAGTCCAGTATCTTTTAGCTTCTACATATGTCCACCACATATGGTAATATGAGCCCGGTGTCTGATGACATTTCCAACACTTTTTGGATTTATTCTTGAACATTCTGGCTATTCTCGTCAGGGGTAAATGCCACCTGTAAAACATCTTATACAAATTTTCCTTATATGCAGTTGACATTATTATTTTATAATTTTGCAACCACAGTTTTTGCCCTTTCTCTAAATCAAATCAACTTTTGACGACATCTGACGGACACTCCTGAAAATCAATGCGATTTCTGAGAGCATCATCGGAGTCTGCCAATCTCAGTTGTTTCAGAGAGAGTCTCAAAGTCCGAGGTCCACCTCTGGACCCCTCCCCTCAGACCAATGGGAGGTCCCAGGGGGATAACCATGGGGTGGAGAGTGGGGAGGGTCTCTAACCTTAACAAGGGAAGATAGACGGGGGGGGCAGTGGGAGGAAGACCTGCCTCCTTCCAGAAGACCCCAACTCTTCTCTCTCTTGGAATACTCCACATTCTGGAGGAATGTCAGTCAAATTCCCTATGAGCAGAAGCAGCTCTACAGAGCAGGGGGGTCTCCACACTTGGCAACAAAGGTGGTCCAGCCTTTGGAGGAAGTGGGCGGCAGCTGCACCCCCTTGCCGGGCTCAGGGGGAAGGGCAGGTAAGGGGCTTCCCAGGGTCTCCTGCTTTGAGGAAGACCCTCTGCTTCCCTCATCCTTTCCCCCAGCCTCCCAGGCTGGAGCAGACACTGAAGAAGACCTCCAAGGACGGGAGGAAAGGTTGTCCCCATTTCAGGGACCCTTTTTAGGATAGGAAACCCAGAAGAGCTGATGAGATGCGGCTGGAAAGGTCGATTGTCTCATCGGGTTTCCTGTGGACTTTGTTCCCAAGATAAACTCCACCCGCAGTTCAAAGGCCGGGGAGATCTGGCGGAGCAGAAGCAGAAGCAGAAGCAGAAGCAAAGCAGAAGCAGAAGCAGAAGCAGAAGCAAAGCAGAAGCAGAAGCAGAAGCAGAAGCAGAGGAGGACTGGCAGATCCACCTGCCACCCAGTATTCCGGATCCCTTCAACCAGGTGGGACCCCACAGAAGCCCCAGGACCCCCAAGCGGGCATTCCCCAGGGCCGCAGGGTGGAGCGGGGCGAGGGCAGAGCTCCTCCTGGGCCTGTGGTGGGGAAGCGGTCAGGGAGCAGCCGAGAGCAAGAGGTTCCTTGTCTGTGGGGAATGCCAACGGATGGATGGGGCAGCGGAGATCCTAATGTTAGCAAAGTCAATGGGGGAGGGGAGGGGGGCTAATGGAAGGACGTTAGTAGATGAGATCCTAACATTGGGAAGGGGATCCTGGGATGTTTAGGATCCCATCTTCCTTGGTAGGAAAGGCAACTTCAGGTTGGAGGGGGGGAAGGAGGAGAAAAGCAGGGAACTTAGCAACAATTGCTCCTTTTCTGAAGGCTGCTGAATTCTCTCCTGGCAGCCAAATAAGGTGAGACCACAAATCAGGAGTAGGGAAGCAACTCCTTCTTCCGACAACCCTCCTCC